TGGCTCAACCACCCGAATGCCTTTCGCACGCTCTGGCCCATGTTCTGTTTGTCTACAGTTCGAGACAAGACCGTTATTCTAGAGATGCAGGGATTGCGACTCATGGCGAAGGAGATTAAATACCGCCTGGGACGTCCGACGGTCGCAAGAGAGCAGTCAATGTTCCCCGTAAACGCCGCCGTATCCGGGCCGTAGACGGAATGCGATCTGGGACTTCTGCGACGCAATAGACCAACGCGCATTTCACAATGTGGAATATATAGAAGTCAAATAGACTCAATTGAGTGATATAATGAACTTGAGATTATTTGTGAGTTGGCGATAATAAAAATCTATGGAAAGGGGGGGAAAGAAGAGACGTATGTGGTCACCGACCCCAGTACGTAGCTTGCTGAAGTGGTGTGGGTGAAACCACTTCTGGGCTGTCTTTCAGTCGGCTTCTCCCTCTTCTTGTCTCTCTCTCTCTCCCTCCTCTTCCTCCCTCCTCCCCAACCCTCTTTCGACAACTCAACCTTCGACTTCGTTCGCCCATCGCCCCTCCGCCCCTCATCCTTCCTCGGTTTTTGGGTGCAGTATCTATCTGGTAGGTTCTTCTTGATCGTATTCTTCTCTTTATTTGTGTTCGCGGCTTGCAGCATGGGGTGCTGGTCCACTCTGTTCTCCTGACTCGCTTCGGCTCTGCGTGATGCCACCGCTGACATACCCAAGCGCTTGGTAGAACGACTCACCTCGCCCACGGCCTTACCCCCGACTCCCTCCCCCCATCGCCATCGCTATCCTTCCTTCTTCATCCTGTCGGATCTGGTACATGGGTGCGACTCTGGATAATTCAGTTTGACCTGTCATCGGTGTGTCATTAATCCTCTTCCTCCTCTTCCGACCGATTCGGGTTGTTTCTTCCCTGCTTCTTCCTCAATGCCCACACCCATCTCCCCCCCCCCTCCTCAAGTCTACAATCCATCAGGACTCAATAGGCCTTGGAATACCATCGGCTTCCTACCATCTTCTCTCTCACTGAAGATCTTCCAATCATCTGAGATCTTCTGGAACACATTGTGCTGACATTCATACTGGTTTTCCTTTCAGCATCGATCGGTTTTTTCTGGCCTTTCCCGTCGCTTTCGGCTGTTGCGACTCGGGGTGTCCTCATCCCATCCACCACAACTCGGGGTCATCGATCCTGTCAATATAATCAATCGCGGGTGATCCATCTTTTAACCAACCTCTCCTGGGTTTACTGTTGTGGTAGGTTTGGATGGACTTTGCCCATACCCTCATATTCCCGTTTCTGCCTTTTCCCTCTTCCAACATCCGCCCACCCCCACTCATCCTATTCCTTTCCCATCCGGATCGATTCCATCCACCCCCAAACAAGAGCAGCCGGTTGATACGATCATCAATGTAGTAGCAGTGTGGTAACACCCGCTTTTGGACCTTTTCCATCATGCAGGCTGTCTCGTACGAACAGCATGCGGCTCCTGGGGCGTCGCCTGCTTATAGTGATTATCGCTCGCCTCAGGAGCCTTCCCCCCGGAGCTCTGTGCCTAAGAACGTCGCCTTCGAGCTGCTACTTGATGAGAACTCTAAGGTGCGGGCTCGCATACCTATGCGAGTCCAGATCTATCCCCATGATACCACGGATTCCATTGTGACCACGGTCAAGAACTTTTATGGGATTTACGATACCACTGCTAGCGGGGTCAGCTTTGAGGATGAACAGGGTATCACCCTTATTGCCAGGTATGAGAATCTCCGAAATAACATGACGGTGTACGTGCGAGTCATCCCCGTGCAAGCCTATACTGAAGGCTACGGGGACCGCTTCTATGGACACCTGCCCATAGACGCTCGCAAGCGCCCCAGTCTGGGAGAGCCTTTCCAGATGGCGCCCGCAATGCAGGCGGCGCACATGTTGGAGCATGGACAGCCCCCATCTCGGCCAGCCTCCCGGCTCGCTCGGAAGCGCAGCATGTCGCCGTCCGGGCGCAGCCGTCGCAGCGCATCGCAGCACAAACAGTCGTCGCGCGGGGGCAACAAAAGCAGAGGCTCCAGCACGCATGGCAGTTTTATGGAGGATGGAGGCTACAGCGACAGTGAGGGTGGCTATGGTTCTGTCTCGGGCGCCAGGAAGCCTCGTAGTGAGCAGTTGGGTAGCTCAGATATCAGCATGGAGAACATCCTTCAAGATGGTCGCAGAAAGCGGCCCAAGTTTGAAAGCTCGGTAAGGGATACCATCCAGACGTAGCCTCAATGCTTGGACCGTTACTGATCATTGATCCACATCCATATAGGAATTGCCGCTGTTCGCCCCCCCTCAGGTGCCTCTCACAACCTCCACCTCCTCCATTTCCCCTCAGCGCCGGTCGATCGGCCAAGAAGGAGCCGTCTCACCTTTTGCCCGCCCCACTCAGCGACCCTATAACTCCCAACAACAACAACCACTTCTTCCTTCTCCTCAGAGCTATGGACACAATGAACAAGCGTATAGCCTTCATCAGGGCCAGAATTCTGTCTATGCCACGCCGATGGTTCCTGAACACGGACATCGCCTGCGCGACCGGGCCGCAACCCAATCATCGGGGCAGTACAGCAACAACTCGGCTGGTCGCAACACGGCCCACGGGGTCCTCCCTACGCCCGACCCAACCATCGCGAGCTGCATTTCCGATGAGGATGTGGCCATGCAGCTGATTCGTCTGGGCGATGCGTCAAACTTCTCGCATGGTCGCACATCTGCATCCACCTTGGATGATGCCTTCAGCGGCGCTGCGGATGCTGCTTCCTCGACTGGCGCCACCAGCGATGGTGACGAGTACAGCGAGGATGACGATGACGACGATGATGATTTGCCCTTACGAACCAAGCAGAGGCTGGACTCCAGCCCAATGTTGCCCCCGGGTGCCATGAAGCGCACCCACAAGCGACTGGACGACATTCTGCCAAGCTTTGACAGCTCTGATGGCAGTTACGACGGCTACGATGATGAGTATCACCAGGAGGATGGACAGCATGATCACACTATCAAGAATGTGATGGACGACGATTCCCTTTATCACGAGTCGGCCCCCAAGTCTAAGAAGGTCAAGGTCCGCGCCGGTAGCACGACCTCGACCAAGGCCCGTGGGTCCAAGTCGGCACCGCGCCCGAGCAAGACAGCCAAGACGCCCACCAATGGTGCCGTGCGCAAGGCTAAACCGACTCCCACAGTGGTCACACAGAAAGCAGCGGTGTCTCCGGTCCTAGCTAGCCCAGCGCCCGTACGCAAGAGCTCGACCTCGTCCGCGACCCTTCAACATCAGCACCCTCACCCACTCGCTGCCGATGAAGAGGACCTGTCCACCAAGCCGCGTTGCCAGCGATGCCGCAAGAGCAAGAAGGGCTGTGATCGGCAACGCCCTTGCGGCCGATGCAAGGATGCTGGGATTGGCCTTGATGGCTGCATCAGCGAAGACGAAGGGAACGGTCGCAAAGGCCGCTACGGTCGTCACATGGGGGTTCCCGTGAAAAAGACCGTTGATTCTCCTCCCAACGGCGCCGAGGCTCAAACACTGGTGGCTACTGCCGCCCCTATGCCTTCGTTGTCGTTGTCGTCATCTTCGTCATCGGCTGCTATCGTCGACAAGAACAAGAAACGCAAGCGCTAGACCTATCCTGTATCCGGCATGAGGATGACGGTCCTGTTGCTTTTTCTATCTCAGATACACATTCGCACCTGCACCTGTTTGTCCGAATATCGACTTATGAGCTGTGCCTGGATGGCTGCATTTCCGCAAACATATTTTACCTTTTACCTTTTAACATAGACGAGTGGAATTATCTGTGTATCGCATCTTTCCCCTCCTTTCATAACATTGACCCTGTACCGTTGGCCTTCCATCCTGAAGTCTCCTGTCCCTCGTGTGCGCAGTACCTCGCACTTCTACCTCGGTAGGAGTGGGTGACTCTGCGACCGCTCGGACGGCTCCTTTGGGTGCGTCGCTCATTCCAACCTCAACCCTCCACCCACCACCTACATTACATCCACGCTCCCTCTGACTGTCGACCTCACCACCTCGCATCAGCTCGACAAACTCCGAGCTTTTGTCACGGTCCCTCACATCGTCATGCTTGTCCCATTACACTCTGCATTCCATTCAATAGTTCTAGCGATTGAACTGAGCGGGTTGATTGTGCTTATTGTGTCGTGTTCTTTTGGCGTTATCTGCAGCTGAATTTGATGCGGCCCTGTGGGGTGCCTGGTCGCCTTCCACCACTCATTACCGTGCGATGATTGTGCCAATGTATCTGGATTGATTGGTTTTTGTTGTCTTGAATGGCTGAGTCATTATTCGACTGATCTGGTGGAGACGAAACAATAACTGTCAGGTCTAGGGTGATCGAATAAGAAATATATGTTTCAGATGAGGATCTATACAGATACAGTAGACCTGACCAGGACTAGACTCAGTGGCATCCAATGTTACGCGGTCAATTTACTAGCAGATGCAGTCTATTGATAACAGGTTAACTCCTAATTCAGCTTAAAGTATATGGTTTAGTTCCTTTATTCACCATGAACCAAGGAATCACTTGAAGGTGGGATGAGCGTGCTGAGTGCTGACTAAGCCCCTGACAGATGCAGACCAGTCGGGTCGCGGGTCGGGCCAGACCATACTCGATCGAGGCTAGCGGGTACAAATTTCCGCAGCCCCGCACTTTTCTCGAGCAGCCGGGCTAGACGCGCGCTTCCCGAGTTTTCTGCCCGCCGTGGCCGCCGAGTGGCCGACGGGGCGAGAGTTGACCGGGAAAAAAAGTTTCGGGAGTTTAGCCACTGCACTTCGCAATCTCACGCATCCTTCTACCTCCTACGACGACATTCCCAGTTCTCTTTCCCTAGACTTCTTGAAACAGGCTTTATACCAATTGAGACCTACCCTGACCTACGATCACCGGACGCCACCCCCGCAATCTTTCTACGCTACGACAACACTTTCCATTTCGCATTCGCCTCGCCCCGAAAAATGCCACCCAAAGCTCCTCCCCGCCGCGGAGGAGCAGCAGCAGCAGCAGCAGCAGCAGGAACCCGCCGCACGACCGCCGCCGCCTCCGCCTCCGCCGCTGAACCCAACAATGCTCCCACCACCGAATCTACGACTACGACTGCTGCTGCTGCCGGCCCCAAACCCCCGGTCCAGCGCCTCCAAACCCTGAAAAAACGCACCCCACCGTCGGGCAGCATCGCGCGGCCGTCGCCGACTCCCGCCCCCGGCCCGCCCGGGAGCAATGAACCCGCCAAACCGACCCTGAAGTACAAACCGCGGGCGGTGAACCGACGCAGCAAGGAGGAGCGTGAGGCGATCGAGAAGCTCGAGGCCCAGCGGAACCGCGAGCGGTTGAAGGAGGCCGCTGCCATTCAGCGGGGGCGCGGTGGTGGACAGCATGGCGGAGGGAGAGGCGGGCGCGGGGGCATGCGCGGTGGGATGATGGGGCCCGGGGGAGGGCCGTTGGGGCCTGGGATGGGTGGAGCGCGACGCGGGCGCGGTGGAGCGCTGGGTGGTGGGTTTGATTCCCGGTCCCGGAGTCGGAGTGTGATGGATCTTGGAGCGACGCAGGTTGGGGAGGGTGGGGACGGGTATGTGAGTTCGGATGAGAGTGATGGTGAGGTCCGGGTGAGTATTGATCGGATTAATTTGGGGAGTGATGATGATGATGAAGTGGACAATAAGGATCGGAAGGTGAAGCTGGAGGGTCGCGGGGGGATTGGGGTCGGGGGGTTGAGGCCCCTCCGGTTGGAGAGGCATGAGCATGAGGAGCGCGTGGTTAGTGTTAATATGGAGTCTAGTACGACGGGGGCTGCGGAGGCGAAGAAGAAGGAGGCCGAGGCGGAGAAGGCGGAGAAGAAAAAGAAGAAGAAGGCGGAGGATGATGATGCTTTGTTTGTCGCGCAGGATGATGATGGGGGGGAGGATGTTGAGGAGAATGTGGATGAGGAGGATCAGATCGTCAAGGAGGAGCCTACGGATGAGGAGGATCAGGTCATGACTGATGTGCCGCGTGCGGATGAGGGCGCTACGAACGTCGATGACGGCTTGCTCCCCGTGCAGAAGGTCAAGGTGCGCCGGAAGTTGAGCCCGTCTAAGTCGGTCTCGGAGTCCGCCGTCCCCAGCCCGGAGCCGGAGGTGGTCATCGATCCGAAGAGTTTGCTACGCACCAAGGAGGATATCGAGGAGTACGAGCGGCATGAGCAGGATCTGGAGATCGTGAAGACCCTCTTCCAGAAGGAGCCCCGACCTGAAGCTCCGGAGGCGCTGGCGGGTGCCGCGGAGGGTGCCGCGGAAGGAGAGGACAAGGAGAAGGAGAAGGACAAAGAAGGCGACGAGGAGGAGCCCAAGGAAGAGGAGGAGGACAAGCTGGCTGGACAGCTGTTCCTCATGCAATTCCCTCCTTTGACTCCCAACCTGGTGCTGCCTGGTACCGAGACTACGGACTCACACCCCACCACCACTACCGAGACCCCAGCCACCGAACAGCCGGTCAAGCGCGAAGACGAGATGGAGATCGTTGATGGTGACGAGAATGCGACGGCCGCGCAGGGCTCCGCCAAGGTCGTCACTGCTGCGGATCCCGGCCTATTGGCTGGCCGAGTCGGCAAGTTGAACGTTCACGCATCGGGTCGGGTGACGATGGACTGGGGTGGTATCAGCTTCGAGTTGGATCGCGCGACGGCAGTGGACTTTTCCCAGGAAGCCCTGATCGTCTCCACGCCGCCGAACGCGGGCGACGAGGAGTTCCCGGATGATGAGAAGAAGGTCTGGGCGATGGGCCAGCTCAGCGGCAAGTTCACGGTGACGCCGGACTGGCAGAAGATGCTATGAGTTTGAGGCTGGGAGCTAGTTGATTGAATGATAGATATCAGTTCAATGAATGAATGAATGAATGAACCAATTGCATTGAACATGACTCTTGGTAAAATTTTTTTTTTTGTTTTTTCCCTTTGGGAATACGTCACCTTCGGATATGCTAGGGTAGGTAGGGAAGGGTGGTTGGTGAGTTAGTAGGGCGCGGGTGGAGGGGCGGAAGGAGGTGGAGAAGGGAGAAGCAAGGGAAAGAGTGGAGGGATAGGAGAGGAGTAAGAAAGTTGGGGCGAAGCTTTGATTGGTTTTTGCTTTTCTTTGTGCTTCTTTGGGAGGAGGCTTGGGTTTGTGGGTTTGTGCACTCTGCAATGAGGGTTTGTGCAGTGCTGTGGTGTTTTTGGTGGAGGTGTCATTCTATGTGTCGCTGTATGCTTTGTTTTCTTTTTGCTGTGTTGGACGATGGGATCTGCAGGTTGGGTCTGGGATCAGAGGGCGTGTATGTGATACTTGAACGAGAGGTGAGAGTATACTAGAGAAGAGCTATCATAGGGCTAAAGGATAGAGTAGAATACTCTTCCTTACCATGGCCACTACTCAGAGCTGATATCCCTAGGACTTGTACTTACAGGGATTATATACTTGAATCTCTTTATATGTATAAATTATAAATTATCAATTCTTGTCTGTCATAAGAAAGAATAGCAGCTCTTGTCGATGTACTTTGCGGATCGGAGAGTATTGGCGGTCATGGCAGCTGCTACCTGAGCCTTTCACCGCTGGGGAATCTAGCTTATGCTTAAGCCAGTCTTGCTTGTCTTGGCATTCACAAAATCCATCTAGGAAAGACGAACTGCCGACTGACTGGATCATGTCCGGCAAACGTGCGGATGCCGTGAGTGAGTCAAAAGTACTCCTTGCGGATTGGTATAGTTTCTTGCGCATCTTGTAGAAATTTATTCGTAGTAAAGCTTTTTCATTATGTCCGAAATTATCGAACACTAATATGAGATCTGTTAATTTAGTAAAAATGTAGAAAAGCGACAAATATCTCGAGTAGGACGCGGCGACAGGATGAACCCAGCCGCTGATTGTCCTATCCAGATACTACCAGGGATCATGGTGAGGGGTTCTCAGATTGTTTCGTACTATTCCCGATGAATTTCATTCTGGGACAAGTGCGGGGGTCTCATGAGGTAGGGAAGGGCTCGCTTTTAACATTGTATTGTTTTGTATGACTTTCTAGAACCATGAATTAACGGTGAAATACGAGTTCGGATCCAGTACCCTCAAGACGGCTTTCATGTCCCTTTAAAAATAGGAAAATCCCAATTTCGTGGTTACAACTCCTTACAATACCTCTAATGCAGTTCACAACAGTTTTCTCCCAGCGCGTCTCAAGACCTGATCATCATTTAGTGGATGCATCCCATGGCTGTCAATGATCAAGCAACGGTCGCAGCTCCCGCCAGTTGCGATAATGACTTTCGGAGGCTGTCTTTCGACTATGAGATGCAACGGCAGAGAAGCCGTCTCGAAAGATATAAGTGGGCTGGACCACCATTCAGCGTATGATGCTATTTCCCCACCAGCATGAATATTGAATGCGTGAAGAGAATCTGACCATCAAAAGGCCATCTACGCTGGAAGTGCTGCCAAGTTCCGCCTGTTCGATGCGGTGACATTCGCCTTCGCAGTCCGCGACACTTCGTATCCACTGGACTACGGACAATATAGCTTTCCCAACAACCTGCATGGACTCGCCGATTTCATCTTAGCCAAGGCGGCAGAGTATCAAGAAGACCATGTGGAGAAGTTCGTTGGTTTAGCCATGTCGACTGAACTAGCGGAACGCTGTCCGGATCTGTGTGCTCGCCTCTGGTTGGAGCTTGATATTATCCCCATGGTGATTCGAAAGGCGGAAGAGAATGCGAGCTGGGGTTCGTACGATGAAGAGTCTCCATTCAAGACGCTGGACGAACGCGCCGAGTCGATCGCGAGGAAGTGCTTAAGGTGAGTAGATTGATGCTATCTTGCTGATCGCTCAATGGAATGCCCTTCTCAGACGTCCCTAGATTCTTCGGGCCCAATCAAGCCCTAATCCCTCAGATCGGTAGCAGAGGGCTTGTTGAGGTTGATGCTGCATTCCATGTAAAGATGGCCCAGCTTTCAGACTACAAAAAGACAGTGGGAGATTCAACCTGGTCGATCGTTAACAAATTCGCTGGTGACATCAAGGAGCGAAAGGTGAAGATAGCCTTTTTCAGTGCAACACCGCAGGGAGGTGGAGTCGCCTTGATGCGCCATGCTCTAGTCAGATTCGCCAACGCAATAGGCGTAGATCTCAAGTGGTAAGGCGACACAAACTTTTCTTTGATAGCAGGAATCCCATGAGAAAGGTGCAAATATGCTCACAACGGTGTACAGGTATGTTCCAAAGCCCCGTCCCGGGGTCTTCCGCATCACGAAGAACAACCATAACATCTTGCAAGGTGTCGCGCCACCTGGCACACGGTTCACTGCACAGGACAAGGAGATTCTTCGTGACTGGGTCTTTGAGAATGCCGAGCGGTTTTGGTTGAAGCAGTCTGAGCCGCCAGGTGTATCCTGGCTAGAAAAGCATGCCCTATCATTTCCGGCTCTAGCAGTACTTCCCCTGGTTTCACAAACATGGCCCCTTGGTTCACCCGGACCAGGGCGGTGCCGACATCATTGTCATCGATGACCCGCAGCTGCCGTTCCTGATTCCGATGATCAAGCAGCGCACGCCGCATCGACCAGTCATTTTCCGGAGCCATATACAGATCCGCAGTGATCTGACTGATACACCAGGTACCCCACAGGCCGAGGCTTGGGAACTCTTGTGGGAGGCCATTGAGCAAGCGGATCTCTTCATCAGTCATCCTGTGCGTGACTTTGTGCCAAATAATGTGCGCCCCGAGAAGGTGGGATATATGCCTGCCACGACCGACTGGTAAATAATTGCTGGCCCTTTGCATTGTTTGCCGATCAAAAACTAATCAATCTCAGGCTGGATGGACTGAACAAGCCCCTAAGCGACTGGGACGCATGCTATTACGGTCGCATCTTCAATGCAAAATGTCGGGAGCAGTACATGCCAAACATTGACTTTCCACATGGTGAGACCGCCTCCTGTTTTATCGATCGCCGGTGATGCTAACATACTGGTAAGAGGACTACATCGTACAGATCGCCCGGTTCGACCCGTCCAAAGGGATCTTCGATGTTCTCGCCTCCTACCGTACCTTCCACCAGCGGCTCAAAGAAGCCCATCCGGACCTTAACCCGCCCAAGCTGCTCATCTGCGGCCACGGATCCGTGGATGACCCCGATGGAACCATCATGTATGATTCCGCCCTGAGATTTGTAGACCAACACCTCGCACATATCAAATCACTCATCTGTATCATGCGGATTGGTCCATGCGATCAGGTCCTCAACGCTCTTCTATCCAAAGCCAAAGTTGCACTGCAGCTCTCCACGTACGAAGGGTTCGAGGTTAAAGTTTCCGAGGCCCTGCACAAGGGGAAGCCCGTGATCGCAACGCAGACTGGGGGGATTCCCTTGCAAGTCCAGCACGGAAAGAACGGGTTCCTTGTCAACGTAAGCGACACGGATGCTGTCGCAGAGCATCTCTTCGAACTGTGGACCGACCAGGAACTGTATGACCGCATGAGCAGATACGCAGCAAACAGTGTCAGTGACGAGGTGAGCACGGTAGGAAACATGTTGTCTTGGCTGTACCTGGCATCAACGTTGTCGAAGGGAATGAAGATCCAGCCATGTGAACGCTGGATTCACGATATGGCGCGTGAGGAAGCCAATGTGCCGTATCGGAGTGGAGAGAACCGCCTCAAACGAGCGGTGACACCAAGTACAGGGTGAGTGGGGTGGGGGAGCCCTACATGGCGGGACTTGTAAAGGCTTCTTTTTGTACTGTTCATGCTTAGGTATGCAATTCAGTCGCCTAATGGATATTTCTGTTACCAAATATGTTGAATAATCAGGTACAGAATGGGAAAAGAATATTCAAAACCCTGTTAACAGCTGCAGTAATACCCAGTTGTACAGCATGCGATTGTGCAAAATCGATACGAGCGGTCCTTCTAGGCCTTGGTTGAGTATCGTTCCCTGTGAACAAGATTTTGGGGTCCGCTGGATCACACATAACGAGCTGAACGAGGTTCATAAGATATGTATGTATGCTAAGTGTACCGCACAGCAATCCGTTGGATTTTATTCCATCTGGGTGAGTTACGAAAGGGAAACGTGGGATGGGTTTCTCTCTTGCAAAGCAATGGCGGCTTCTGCAAGCTGAGGAACACCCAAACAGTAAATTTATGCAGGGGGGGGGGGGGGCATTATAGCCTGGCAATCTGCAATTTGTGGAATCGGTTGACAGCAGACTGCCCTGTCAGACCATCGTGAGCGCCCCCGGTGTCTCTTTTACTTGCCGTGCTGGGCATATTTGCTCCTCATCCGAATGCGTTGCCCGAATGCGTATAACAGGAACGGACATGGCGTGAAAACCACGGTCAAGCAACCAAGCAAAGTACACGCCCAACCGACACCGAGGTTATGGAACATTTGGGTGGCAAAGAGGGGGAACGCTCCCCCGAAAGACGACCGTAAGAAATCATTTCCGGCGAGGACCGAGGTGGCATACTTGGGATACGCATTGGCCTCGTAGCAGAAAATGCTGTTGAAGATGAGGTATCCCCCAAAGGAAAATAGCATCGAAGCAATAACCGGCACAATCCAATGAACGCTTGCGAAGTTGCCGGTCCACCCAAACCAGAAAAGAGATATCGGTAGACACACGGCCCCCAGACACGCGGGGGGGAGGTGTTCTTCCGGGGAGATATAGCCGTTCTGGTCGATCTGGTGGGATTGCCAGCGATATTTCCAATACACGTACGCTGGAAGTGCAATGAATACAGCCCCTATCATGATCCCCAAGAATGCCAGGCCCGTCTCACCCGGGTTAAACCCATGTTTCTCTCCAAAAACGATGGGAAAGGCTTCAAACCAAATGTACAAAATCCCGTAAATAAGGGCGATGTATAGATTCATGAGAAGGACAATAGGCTCCAGGAAGCAAAGCGCAAAGGGACGGACGATTGCTTCGAAGACAACATCCTACATATAATCAGTCTGATGCAAGTACGTTCACATGTAGCCTTCCATGCAAGCTTACCCTGGGTGCCACCTGAGCAATCTCAATCTCAGCCTTGGATGCATACCTTTGATTTCCGGTGATCCGGCGAATCCGCCGGGCCCGGCGACTGAGAATGTTAGGTGCAAACGTCTCGGGCAGAAAGAAGAAGACAAGAACAAGAGCAAAGCCAGAGACCCAAAGGAGCTCCCAGATAGTCCATGTCCAACCCTTGGCAGAGGCGGCGAAGCCTCCCACCAGAGGTCCTAAGACAGGAGCGGCAATGGCGAAAGAAGCCCAGATTGCAATCATATAGTCGCGGATTTTGGGGCTCCACATATCTCCAATAGAGGCTCCCCCTGTCGCAAGAACAGGCGAGCCTAAGAAACCAGTTAAGAACCTGAATGCTAGGAGCATGCCCAGATTCTTCGCATAGATCACTGCAAATTGAAAGAAAACAAACACAATTAGTGTTGCGACATATATACCGGGCTCCGTCCCACTGCAGGAAGCTCTGATAAGGGCGCCCAGAACATGGGCCCTGGAGCATAATGAGTCAGCGTTGACGAGGATAGATGTGATACCGGTTGACATTGATGCAGCTCACCCAGTCCGTGTCCGATCACAAATAATGTTAGACCGAGAACTGCAGCTTCCCGGCTCACTCCAAACTGTGCTGCCACCCCAGGGATTCCAGGAGTGTAGATAGCCGAACCAATATATATGGAAAACGTAAGGAGGCAGATCAGGAGAGTGACAAAGCTCTTCTTTGTGACCGTCCAGTTTTGTGGATTCTACTAACATCAGCCCCAGCTTCTGATTTGGTTTGAAACTGTGGAGCAATTCTTTCGTGTGTCCTACCTCGCTGTCGTCAGAGCCTCTCCAACCAATTACCTCCGGCGATCCCTCCTTTATGCCACGCCAGGGACCTGCCAAAACACTTCGAAGAGGAGGCCTGTTTCGCTTGCGGAGGGAAGCTTGCGACATAACAGTGTAAAGGCCATATTGATCTTCATCATCATTGTCTGAGAAGGCTTCTTCAGTGGCCGCAGGCATCCGTGAATATCTCTCCCAAGCCGAAGCATCCTCCTCTTCTGGGAACAAGAGAACCTTGTAACCGCTCAAAAAACGAACTAATTTGCCGAACGCGGCGTCTCCATCGTGACGAGTGTTCTGAAGCATACGCCGTCAGACGAAAGGTTTTATATTTTGAGATTCTTTGCAGTTTCAGCCTGGAAACTGTCAGTCCAGTATGCGGGAAGGCCTAGCTTCCAAAAATTACATACATCATCACACCATACACACATATATATATATACTTCCAACTTGCCACCCGACATGGGCTCGTACAGGCCTTTTCTCCATGAGCCAGTGTTGGAAATCAGAGTTCTCGCTAGATTTGGAAAGTTTCGTCATGCAAAACAAACCAGGTACCCCCCTCATCTCGAAATACCAGCACGACCATAGGCCATTGCCAATGACCTCTTTGAAGGTTGGTGTGTGAAAATACTGACGTCCAATATGGTGTTCTCCATTCAATTCGAAACACTGGAATCAGACCGATGAACTCCTGGTAATAGTATCTATTGGCTTCACAGCTACGCGATTTCTAGTGGAAGGCAAAACCAGAAAGAGTCTGTGAGCACGGAGGGGGTCGATGCCATAAGTTATACAGTATGATTAAGCTCCTGATGCCGTCAGCCCTAAGAGCCTTCCACTGGTCCATCACAAAACTGCAAAGAAAGTTTGCAGATTGGTGGGTGATCACGGCCACACTGCCGAGCATTATTAGTCGTGACTTCTCTGTCATCAGCGCGAGGGGTGGTATACCTCACCTAGTCCTATTCTTGCTTCATTATGCGTTGTTCAAAGCAAAAAAGAGAAGAATGTGCTGAAAAAATATGCTTTGGATGTTTGACGGGTCAATGTGAGTATCGTCAGTTTCTTGAATCGTCTTCTTGGCCTGTGTCGTTTCCATAAGGACTATCTTCACTGACATGTCGAACAAGACCTGCCGAGAGGTGGGCTTGTGGGCTCGTATCTGGGAGTAGTAGATCGGGCTTTTGACCCGCGGGCCCTCTTCGCAATAACATGTTATTGGAGCTAGTATCAGATTCGGGTCAGATTCGGGATCACGGTAATTGTCATATTTGGTTTAGGGCTATATAAGAAATAATTATCTAAAATAGGGCTTGATATTTCGAGAAGACCGGGAAAATAAAGGACACACCAGGAAGGACTAATGTGAAATATGACTTTAGTTGTGCACAGTTTAGCTGAGTCACATGACCAACACCTGTAACCTCAAACGAGCGCTCAGGGATTGCTCAGGACACGCACTTTTGTGCTCCCCCTACCCCCACGCTCCGGGCCGCTCAGTGGGCCAAAAGCGGCGCCAAGTTGGACCTCAAGTGGAAAGGGAAAGTTGTTGGATTTCTGTAGGAATCCAGTTTCAATAGTACTCTAGTATGAGTGAGGGTGAGGGTAGGAGGGGCTGTAATGACGCCATACAAGAAGTGGTTTGAAGCTGTTGCACTGTACAACCAAACAACAACCAAGGCTGACCACTGGACCAGCCCCTCTATGTCGGCTGATGATCCCCATTATGACACCATCAGCTCCCCAGTTTCGCCGCTAGGATTGATAATCCGGACAGTGCCGGTGTGGTAGTAAAAAAACAGTGTTTAGCTGTTCGCATAAAGTTTGGAAGAACACTACTCACTGAGTACCTACATAGTAGTAAACTGCTGGTGGTGTCAAAGTCTTAGCTTAATCTAACCGTCGCAGATGAAATGTCTCACCTCAGGGTTTGGAACCCGCGGGTTGCGGGTTCCACGTTTAGGTGACTACTGTACTGTGTAAGTTACTCATTACTGATTACTACAGGGAAAGTGACCGACCCTTGGGCTCTCCAGCTCCACTTGGCTGTAAAATCCTGACAAGGCTTCGAAGCTTTCAGTAGCACGAGACATTCGATCAACTGGTCGATCAACAAGCAACTAACCCCAAGTAAGGGCAATTCAGCCCGTGCGGGCACGGCTCAGAGTTGGGAACCAATAGAACCCACGATAATGCCGTCAATCCGCCCCCAAGAGTGGAGCAGTTGCTTGTCGCTTGACCCAAAGAGGGCAGGTGAATTGGGATTAATTTCCACTAATTTGGCACTAATTTTTGCAGCAGGGTCAGGGCCATTAGCCTGTCACTGGCACTGCTGGAGACTGGAGTGTTCTGGGCCGTTGGTTACCCCCGTTAGGTACGGTACACGGTACATGGTACATGGTGCACCCCCTGGGTTTGATTATTATTATTTATTTTATTATGATTATTCCGCCCGTTCGCTCCAACTCAATCAACTCCCTCCCAATCTTCCCTCTCCTCCTCCTCTTCCTCCTCGCTACTCGCTCCTATTCCTTCTCCCCCTCCCCCATACTTCTCCTCCTTCTCCTTCTCCTCCTCCTCTCCTCCTCTTCGCTTCCCCTCCTCCTTCTGTCCGTCTGCTTTGGGTCTTCGTTACTTGCGTATCGAAATCGACATACTCTCGCTAAGGCGGAATTGAGTTTGAGTTTGTTTTTTTGCTGCCTGTCGTTCCCGTGGCTGAGTCCGTTCCTCGTTCCCACCAGTTTCAGGAGACTTTGCCAAACCATTCTTTTTTTTCTTCTTCTTCTTCTTCTTCTTCTTCTTCTTCTTCTTCTTCTTCCTCCTCCTGCTTCCCGCCCTCGCTTCGACCTTTCCGAAGTGTGCGACAATCGCGCTGTCGGGTCCAGTTTCTACCCGACTTGGCTGCTTACTGTGGTGGTGGCTGGATAATTCTAGTGCGACACCTCTCAACCGTGGCAGTGGTGGTGGATTCCCTTCTCTGCACGAGTGAGATTGCGCACGTTCGGGGCCTGGTGGAGGCAGCCTTGCGCATCGCAGTCAATCTAATCTCAACCCGCGACAATCTCGACGCACAACAATAATCTCGTCTTATATATACACACGAAGCTCATCCCCGATCGCTTTTCTGTCGCTTTGAAGCCTGTCGCGTTTTCCGAGTTCATCATGAGGCCCTCGACAATCGTTCTCTGTCTCGTTCCGACGATAGCTATCGCCGCCGAAGCCGACCGGGCGCCGTCTCCCACCCCCTCCCTACCCAACACCACCCCGCCTGCTCCGTTACCAGAGATTCAAATCCGGCCCGACCACCGAGAAAACGTGCTGGGAATCCAACAAGAGGTCCGTCAATGGCAAGAGCGGGGGATTCGGACGGGCGAGGACACCACCATCGATAGCGGACTGGGGACGCTGGCCGCCTCCTCGCGGGACACCAAAGCCCTGCGCGCTCGCAGTGAGGGCACTCTCGGACAGACGCCGTGGATCGGAATGGCCATTGGATTGACCTGTACAGCGCTGGCGGCCGTCATGCTGGGCTGAAGGATCGATACCGTGGCCGCACCTGTTACCTTTGCATACGGAGTTTCATAATTCTCGATTTTACCTTTTGACGACATTGACCGGCAACCGCATTGGAATCGTTGGTCGCAATTTTACACCTTGCTACGAGCGCATCGCATACCTTGGGTCCAAACCTCTGGCACCTGCATCTGATCTGATCTGCAGTGGACTGGTCACTTAATACCATGTGGATACCGGATACGGTCCCTGCAGGTTTTTGTTTTATACCTTTTCTTCTTCCGTCTTCTTTGCATGCATACCCAAGCCACCATGTATAGACCGGGCAATTCTTCTTCTTCTTTGATGCTTGATTGTATGTGTATATGATACCTTGGATCTGGGGTCGAGCCGACAGGTGGCTCGCTGGTCTTTTCTTGTTCTATTCTCATGATGTATCTACCACCATTATTTATGAACAATTCTTTTTGATTTTCTGACAGTAGTATCTCCGAATTTGTCAGACTGTTGAAAGTCGCCGCGAGCGATGGACAGGACAAATCTCCCGACGCGCGTGTACATGTGAGCCAAGGTGTGTGGTGTGTTCCTTTGTCCGTTGCGCGAGACCAGTTTTGGGAATATGAATCTCTGCTTGGCCTCGTCAGTGTCCGTCGCCATGAAACAAAGGAATTCCCGTCCCATGCGCATCGGACCTCGTGTTCTGGTGCTGACAGCGCACCAGCAGCCGTTCCCCACAGCACAGTACAGTACTTATTGCTACCACGGCCTTGGGAGGAATCTCACATGCATGAAAGGGTGTGCCGCGTGGTATATCTCCTGTCTTCGCTTAATCTAACTGCTGCGTGTTGCTGTTTCTGCCAAGTGAAGTCAATACTTGGCTGTGACAGTATCCAAGCCTGTCTAAGGGCTGGATACTAACTACAAATCCGATTGCATCCCACCTAGACTGTCCACACAACCCACCATCACCGAGCCCACCCCAGCCCCAAACAACTAACAGCCTACCTTAAACTGTTCACATCTTCTCCACGGAACCCTTAACTAGGCACCATCATCACCTGAACCATCACAAGTAAGTCCTCCCCTTCCACCCTCTCCTCACTCAACACCCCCCATCCAACAACCCAAACCCAAAATCAAACCCAAACCAAAAAGCTAACCACACCCGGACCCATCCAGAACAGCATGGCCAAATCCTCCGCCAACATCCCGCCCTACACCCCCATGAAATCCCTCGGCCACGAACTCGGCATCCTCTTCGGGTTCCTGGTCGCGTGCTTCGTCGTGATGGCCGTGTATGTCCACATCTGGAACGGTGAGTCTTGACTCAATCCAAAGCACCGCCGCTATCCCCCGCAAAACCAGACAAGATCACTGATAAAGAATTCTCCCTGGGGAGGGAGGAAACAGCCATCGAACGCCGCGAAGCCCACCGCGACAAACTCCGCCACCAGATGCTGGACACCCGGCGCGTGGACCCGCGCCTGCACGAGCAGCGCCTGCACCCGGACTACCGGCCCATGGGCACCTCGACTACCATCACGGCCGGGTCGACGACGGTCCTCGGTGGGGGGAGCAGTGTCGCGGGTGGCTATGGTGGTGGTTATGCCGGTGGAGGCGCAGGTGCAGGGACATCGACCCCGACCACCGCGACCGGAACGGCATCTGGCTCGGCGATCGGGATCGAGAAGATCATTGAGAAGCGGGCGGAGTTGGCGGGACTGCACCATCACCAGCAGCACCAGCACCAGCACCAGCGGATACCTTCACAGGAGGAGATCGGGGTGGCGGTTACGACGCCTAGTGCGGAATACGATGTGAAAGGCGACGTGAAAGAGAAATGGCCGGGGAGGAAAGCGTCCTCTGCCTTTGGGTTGGAATTGGGAATAGGGAAACGGCATTTGAGTTTGAGGTCGCATCCGGTTGGGGGGGATTCCGGGGCTGGAAGTGAGGTGAAGAGGGCGGGGAGTATGGGAGTGGGAGTGGGCGTGGGAGTGGGAGGGTCTTCCCCGGTGGAGGGGCGGACGGGCAGTAGTAGTGGGCAGCGGGGGAATGAGGCCGGCGGCGGGGTGGAGATGGAGGTTATGGGGTGGAAGGGGGGGCCTTGATTTACGGACTGTGCATCGGGCGTGGTTTTGTTCGTGCTTGATGCGGAGTACAAGGAGATACTCAGGAATCTTGATCTTGTTCATAAGCTCATATGCATTCATTCTCTTCCTTCGCAATGGATTTGTAACCCTGCGCATAACCTCATTTATCTATGCCATAATGACAATGCTACCCCCCGCAGAGATCCCCCCAATCCCCCCAGTTGACTACCACCCAAGAGAAAGGAAGGATTCACTTCCCAATCGCCACAAACAACCGATCCCCAATATCCCCCAACCCGGGCACGATCATCCCGCGCTCGTCGCACTGCGCGTCCACCGCCCCCGTCCACACCTCCACCCCGTCCGCCCACGTCCCCGCCGCCCGCCGGATCCCGGCCTCCGAGCCCAACACGCTCAGCATCACGACGCGCCGCACCCCCCATTCCCGCAGCAGCTGGATGGCCGCCTCGGCCGTGGCGCCCGTCGCGATAATCGGGTCCAGCAGGATGGCCGTCTCGGCGGCCGCCGGGTTGGCGCTGCCGGCGGCCTTGTGGAAGGGCAGGTTGTTGTAGTACTCAACCGGTTGCAGGGTGAGGCGCTCGCGGAAGAGGCCCAGGTGGTAGATGGGGATGCTGGTGGGGAGGAGGGAGTTTATGGCTGTTTTCTTGTTAGGATGGTTTTATTTTGGGTGGGTGGAGAGGGGTTTGTTTGGGCCGGAAGATAAGGAATCCCCGTGGTGGGAGATAAGAGGGGCAGATAGATTAGGGGCTGATAAGGATATGCGATGTGGCTTTGGGGAATTTGGGGCTGGGGCTGGGGCTGCGCGTACCGTCGGTCATGCCTAGTCCTGAGCGGAGGATGGGCACCAGGGCGATGTTGGAGGGGTCGATGGTCGTGGTTGGGTATTCGATGCCTAGTGGGGTTTTATCCTTTGTTGGCGGTTAGTTTTTGGTAATGGTGGTAGTGGAATGACCAGAGGTTAAGCGTACCGTTCCATCTTGCTTCGTTTTCCAGCCAGATGCAAAAGCTTCCACGCCCAAAATGGTGGCGATCTCGTGGACGAGATCGCGGGTTTGACGGGTGGAGGTGGAGGAGGAGCGCAGTTGCGAGACTTTGGCCTGCAGGAGGGGGTGGGAGGAGACGTGGACGTTGGAGGGGAGGCTCATGGTGGTTGAATCTTGGTAATGTTAAAAGTTGGGCTGAGATACAGAGACGGAGGAGAGGGAGAGGTTTTATAGCTTGGGAGTAGCTAGGAGTAGCTCAGGTAGCAGTGCGTTGGTGGAAGAAGAAGAAGAGTGGAAATGATGCAGTTGGGAATGAGGGGTAAAACAAACAAGGCAACAGAAAGTCACCTGCGCCTGGTCCGCTGATCCTCAGGCATTCTTCCTTTCTTCATTCACTCTGCCATTGATTGCATTCACTGTATCCTGTATCGTCTATCGCCTATCGTTCCTCCAGGTGAGGATATCTCCGGAGTCCGGACTGATAAGTTGTTTATCATGATCTCTCTCTCTCTCCTTAATCGTTATCTTAAATCCCCAGGTTCACCCGGTCGATCTCGCCCAGCGAACCACAATCCAGCGTGTGCTCCACTGACCCCACCTCCACAGTCTTCTGTCTCTCCGGACTTCACTCCTCCCCGAACATCCTCCCTGTCGCAAACCATCACGCCGAAATGGCATCACAACCACAACCACAACAATTAAAGCAATAATAATACCTGACAATGCCCTCACCGAAACTAGCGCCCTCCCCCCTTCCCACAACCGACCATGCCCCCCAACGCTAACCGTGGTCCCTCGAGGGCCGCGCAAAGCCCACCGAAGACACACCTACACAACCCCCATCAACAGCACCAGAACCCTCATCTACCTAACCTTCTTCTCCATCTTCGGCACCCTCGCCCAACTAGGCCTCCAATCCCTAACCCCCCTGCCCCGGGCCCCCAAGACGCCGTCTTCACGCCGTCTTCTCCCCCGCTCGGCTGCGGGACGCGCTACTACCTCTCCCAATGGCTGGATGCGCGGGTGCCCGCATTGCCCGCTGGGGACGTTCGTGTTGGCCGGGTGTTTTGATCCACAACGAGTCGAAGGCACGGGCACGGGCGTCGTGGGCTGCCAGGGGCTGCAGGGGGTCATGGATGGGTTCTGCGGCGCCGCGACGACGGTCAGTACCTGGGTTGCGGATTTGGAAATGGCTTGCCCCGGCGGCGGGAGGCCTAATCTGTATGGGGTGGTCAGTGTCGCGGTCGCGTTGGGGTTTTTTTGTGGTTATTGCCTGGTCGTTGAGCCTGTCTGTTCTTGACCGTCCCCACTCCCCCCCACTAGTCAAAGTGTATATATGATTGAGTAGGAGTTATAGGAATAAATATAGTCATAGTGTTGATCATGTGGATGACCAAGGTATAGGACAGACAGGTTTATCATACTACAACTACCGAACTGCAATCCCCGCCAAATACTTATATTTTGTGTGCAAATTACTTATTGTACAGAACAAACTACAACCAATTAAGCATGTGCAACAGTGCAGAAAGAATCAACATCGAAAAAGAAAAAAGAATCTTTAGATCGCAACATGCGAATAGGAAAAACCCAAAGCAGCAGAACAATAGAGCGGAGAAACAATCAACAGGCGGGGACGCGTTAATCACATGAACAGCACGCAAGCTCACATTAAGATGGCATCAACAAGTAGGGAAGAAAAAGTGTATGTCAACGAAGGACTAAGAGAGATGAGAGAAGAAGAGAAAAGAAGTATATAACGGACAGAAGGTATCGAAAAAGCAGTCAAAGACAACATGTCTCGGACCCCAAAGAAAGAAAACCAAACACGCTCATGCGCAAGAATCGAACGGACAGTACTAAGAATTAAGGGTGTAGACGAGCAGATAGAAAGCAGACAAAAAAACAACAACTCCACCGAGTGCGAGGGAAGAACACACAGGACCAGCCGGGTGTCGAGATGTTGCCTGGGAAAAATCAACCCATCAAAACAAGAAAATGACCACACCGGACTCCCGTGAGCTCTTGCAAAACCGATAGAAATATGAACCATAACGCATGATAGGGGAAAGAAAAGTAATGAAAAGGAGCCGGGGAACGCCAGCAAGGAATCATTATGCGGCGGTTGAGTTCGTCACCGGAAATCACATCTTGCCGCCCAGACTTGCGCATCCGTTCCCGACCCTAAACCGAAATCCAGTGTCCCAAATATGATGTTGAATGAATGTAGAGAAGTGTATGTGTTTCAGGCGACCGGGGTCACCGTGGCCGTGGCATGTGCAGCATTAGTATGCCGTTCCCACACTGGCCAACGTCTTGGGAGGCATTGCATGAATAGGCTGGTCTTTGGCAACGCGCAACGAATCCTCGTAGCCGATCAAGGCTTGCGAATGGAGTTTGAATGACTCGCCCATGAGCTTGGTAATGCTGTTCGAATAGTTAGTGACCTGAACTGTCAATCGAAACCAGAGGTGATTGACTTACCCCCATACTACCACACCGTCTAGGATATTACCCCATACACGGGCCACGGTAGAGCTGAGTTTACCAAACCCATCGACGGCATCATCATCAAACAGATTCCGCACCTTGTTGTAGATGGCGATTTCCGCCTCGGTCGCTGGCTCTTCGTCATGTTCCAGGCGATAGAGCCAGAGACTGAGGATCACCATCAAATCCAAGCCACACAGTGGGTGCTCGACGCTCCAGTTCGTGGCAGACGTCTGCGCCACCCAGTTGATACCTTGAACGGCCGCTATTTCGATGCACTCGAAGCACGATTGTATGACCTTGTTCATCTCTTGAGACCGCTTGACCTTCTCGCGGGCCACGGTCATGGCAGCAGCTACTTCGTACGAAGAGTGGTAGCGCAGAGCCTCCTGGATTGACTTGAGATCCACTTCCAGGCGAGCGCGAGTGTTTCGGTAGACCGCCATCGAGTTGAAGATCAGAGGGTGGCCCTTTTGAGGGGTGCTGAGGGGCACCACCATCGTCTCGGGCTCGCAGACTTCAAGAGAGCTTTCCCAGGTTTCCAGAGCGAGGCGAAGCTTGTACTCGGTAACCACGTCCTGCAGAGCCTCGAAACTGCGCTTGTGGTTCCACACTTGGAGAAAGAGAGCGTTGATGAGAACGCGTGTGGCGAATGCACTGTATCGGGTCTGCTCGCCTTGGAAAAGACAATCGTGGGCTTCTCGAACGGTCAAGGTGGAAGCATTGGCCAGGCTTCGGCGCCAAGCGTCGTCGTCGGTCACATCGAGGTTCCACAGAGACTCGGAAGAAGGGAGCTCAAGGTTGTCAAACTCGTCGAAGCTCATCGCTGGGGTGTGGTTGAAAGTCAAGGTGAGCATGCCAAAGAAAATGTAGACCGCGAAATAGGTACGGCGGCAAGACTCATCCTCAATCCAATCCTCTCTGGAAGGGATACCCTCACGACCCTCAGTGCGAAGCTTCAGTTGATAGCGATTTCCAGCAACCATCTATAATCGATCAGTACAAGCAATTGAACCTCTGGATCAACAAAGTACTCACATTGGCCAAAAGACTCTTGATGGAGCAAGTCCACTCCAGTCCCTTCGGATCGCCGCTCCAACTCTCGAAGATCATGTTGAGAAGGGTACTCTGCATCGCCCACAGCGGACATTTTCTTGAGTCAAAATTTTCCTTGTGTTGCAGGAATTGGTTGACCAGCATCTTGGACCCCACATGAAGCATGAACGCGTCCTTCCGCTCAAAAGTATACAAAGCACCGATAGAGAGAACGGCGAGAAGCAGAGGCGCCGAGACGTCAGCGGGCTGGAACGACTCCTGGTGCAGGAAGGGAAGATGAGGGTGATACAGGTTGAAATACGTCGACAGGTACTTGTTGAGTGCAGATGTGGGGGGCAGCTGGAACGAGTCGGGCAGTACACCAAGCGAGTCCGCATCCTCTAGGCGGTCCACGATCATGTTCCGCT